TAATGTATATGAACTAATTCAATTCTCACAGGAATGCAGTGAGTAGTAAATACTTTATAGTTATAATAGGTTAACTTATTTATCTTGATTAACTTATTTTTCAGATGTTTTGAACAAAGATAAGGATGAAGAGCCATCTGTGAAACAAGAAATTGAAGAACTTGAGGAAGAAGTGGAACCACAGGGTGTCATAGTTACAAGAATCAAAAGTGAAATTGACCAGGATCCCATGGGCAGAGAAACCTTTGAACTTGTTGGGAGGTTAGATAAACAGAGAGGTATCTTCTTATGGGAAATACCACGGGAATCTTTGACTCAAGAACAGAAAATGTTCAGAGGAAACACTAATATCCGGAAGAGACCAAGCACAGAAGAGAAATGCCATAAATGTGAAGAATGTGGAAAGGGTTTTGTTCGTAAAGCCCATTTCATTCAACATCAAAGGGTTCATACTGGTGAGAAGCCATTTCAATGCAACGAATGTGGAAAAAGCTTTAGTCGTAGTTCATTTGTTGTTGAACATCAGAGAATTCACACTGGTGAGAGACCCTATGAGTGTAATTACTGTGGAAAAACCTTTAGTGTGAGCTCTACCCTTATTAGACATCAGAGAATCCACACTGGAGAAAGGCCCTATCAATGTAATCAGTGTAAACAGAGCTTCAGCCAGAGAAGGAGCCTTGTTAAACATCAAAGGATTCACACAGGTGAGAAACCCCATAAATGCAGTGACTGTGGAAAAGCCTTCAGTTGGAAGTCACACCTTATTGAGCATCAGAGAACTCACACTGGTGAGAAACCCTATCATTGTACCAAATGCAAGAAAAGCTTTAGTCGAAATTCACTGCTTGTTGAACATCAAAGAATTCACACTGGGGAAAGACCCCATAAATGTGGTGAATGTGGGAAAGCCTTTAGGTTAAGTACTTATCTTATACAACACCAAAAAATACACACCGGTGAGAAACCTTTTCTTTGTATTGAATGTGGAAAAAGCTTCAGTCGGAGTTCATTCCTTATTGAACATCAGAGAATCCATACTGGTGAACGACCTTATCAGTGCAAAGAGTGTGGGAAAAGTTTCAGTCAACTTTGCAACCTCACACGTCATCAGAGAATTCACACAGGAGACAAACCTCATAAATGTGAGGAATGTGGAAAAGCCTTCAGTAGAAGCTCAGGTCTTATTCAGCATCAGAGAATCCACACTAGGGAGAAAACTTTTCCATATAATGAAACTAAGGAAAGTTTTGATCCAAATTGCAGTCTTGTTATACAGCAAGAAGTCTACCCTAAGGAAAAATCTTACAGATGTGATGAATGTGGAAAAACTTTTAGTGTTAGTGCTCACCTTGTACAGCATCAAAGAATCCATACTGGTGAAAAGCCCTACCTATGTACTGTTTGTGGGAAAAGCTTCAGTCGAAGCTCATTTCTTATTGAACATCAGAGAATCCACACTGGTGAGAGACCATATCTGTGCAGACAGTGTGGCAAAAGTTTTAGTCAACTTTGTAATCTTATCCGACATCAGGGTGTTCACACAGGCAATAAGCCTCATAAGTGTGAGGAATGTGGAAAGGCCTTTAGCCGAAACTCAGGTCTTATTCAGCATCAGAGAATACACACAGGAGAGAAACCTTATAAGTGTGAGAAATGTGACAAAAGTTTCAGTCAACAGCGCAGCCTTGTCAACCACCAGAAGATCCATGCAGAGGTCAAAACACAAGAAACCCATGAATGTGATGCTTGTGGTGAAGCCTTCAATTGCCATATTTCTCTTATTCAGCATCAAAAATTACATACTACATGGATGCAGTAAATGTAGAGGAATAGGTAGGCTCAATTTGAGACTAGCTATCCAAGTACAGTTTTAGTATGGTTAAACATGGGTTAGAGTTAATGATAGATTGCCCTTGACTTCAACCGCATAGTTTCTAAAGATCTTGTGAATACTAGTCAACTGTCCATGGGCAGTTGACTTCCAAGTGTTAATGATCATGGAGAAAGACTTAATTTACCTAAACATCTTTCTAGCAAATCTTTCAGCAGAGAAATTGAATCCAGGTGCAGAGAATATGGAAATACTCAAAGGACAAAGTTAAATTAGTGCAAGGAAACTGGGAGTAAGGGCACTGATGTTAAAAAACTAAGGGTACATCTCTTGGTGGTCTGTTCAGTTCTTTGATGTTTGACTATGCATTCCAAAGCCAAGTGATCAAAGATATATAAGTTCTGAAAGTCTAGATGTCATAGAAACCAATATACAAAGTTCTTTTTAATTGATAAGTCAGCTGTTTGAATTACGAGTTAATGAAAGGCTATTTCAGTGCCTACTGGTTCCCAGATCAGTGAAATAAATGAGCCATTAATTCCACATATTTGACTAACCTAGCAAAGGTGTTGACAAGGAATCTTTGGGAGTGCCTTTCCCCACACACATACACACAAGATGGGCCAAGAAAATGCTCTTTGGTGCCATTCCATCTGTGAAAGATTTATAAAACTATATAAAACTTATTCCTGCACTACCAGGAGCATGTGAAAGTGTATATATTTTGATTAGCAATAATTGGAAATTAAAAGACCTGGAGTTTTATGCTAGGAAACATGTTTTGGTATTGCTTTGGGTTGTATGATAACTAGATTTTGCATGCAATTTTAAAGTCTTTATTTCTGATTTTAGGGCTTCCTTAGTTAATGATGGTTATAAACCTATTAAGCATCTTTTAATTATTAAAATCCATTTTGGTTTTTGCTTGTAAGTTTTTTTAATATATATAGTGTAAAATCAGTTATGTCGAATACTGTTTTTAAAATTGGAATCAAGGTGGGGCTGGGGAGGTAGCACAATGGCATAAGCGCCTGCCTCACAAGCACAAGGTCCCTAGTTCAATCCACAGTACCGCAAAAATAATAAAATTGGAATCAAGGATTTGAAATAAATTATAGTCACTTGTGCTTGTGCCTAATATTCTCTGAACTAGTTAAAATCATATTAAGCACAAGTTCTTCAGTTTCTGAGTGTAGAGTTAAAAATCATTAAAACTCCTTACATCTAACTCCTAGTATTTTGAAGTGAACTTTTGTGTATGCTGTCAAGATTATAAAATCACCTTCAAATTTTTTATCTTCCCATCTCTGGATATCAGAGGTTTGTCTTATTGTGCATACGTATAAATGTGAAGGTTATTACTCATATAAAAACATTTTTGTCCACTTCTTTAGTCAGGTACTCAGATTATACAAAGCTTGTTATCCAATGAAAAGAGTTTCTTTTTAAATACTGCCTGTTTCAACAGGGTTAAAGAGTTACGCCGTAAGAGTTATATTCTGTGTTTCCAGCACAAAGTGCCAACTAATAATGAGATTCTTGGACTTGTTCTCAGTATTTTTTAAAAAATTTTGAAACAGGTTCTTGCTCTGCAGTTCAGCCTGGCCTTGAACTAACTTTGTAGAACACACCAGCCTCAAACTCATAGCAATTCTCCTGCCTCAGCCTCCGAAGTGTAGCTTCTCAATATTTAAACAAACAGAAATGCAGAGCCAGGGATGTAGTTCAGCCACTGTGCACCTGCCTGGCAAAGTTTCATTCCTGGTACCAAAAACAGTATGTATTCAGTGGAAGCACAATTACAATATTTCTTGGCTTTTCACTGAAATTACTGTTTCATGTATAGAGCAGTGGTGGCAAACCTTTTAGAGAAAAGTACTCAAACCACAACCCCAAATCCACTTCGCCAACACTACAATTAAACATGAAGTCTGAGGTTTTAGTTTAGTGAAAACTGCATTAATATCTTTAAAAGAAAACACATGTACCATAGGTTTACTAAGCTAATAATAGAATAATTTTCATTGAGACAAAGTATTCCTGGTAATATACTGCTTATCTCACAGTATAACCAATAGTAACATTACTTAGTAGAAGTTCCCACTCTTGTCATAATTCATAGTTGAGTGTATGGGAGTTTCCTATGAGAATTGCCTAATTGTTACATTCTTAGATGTGAATCTGGGACAACAAAACGGTTAGTAATGAACAATTCATTTTTTACTTAAAAAGAGTTGAGAAAAAAAAAAAACTTCAGAGGAAGTTATCCATTTATCTCTTCTCAAGAAACTTATAGAAGTATGCAGAGGACTCTTAAGGGAAAATGGATAGGGAAGGAACATGTTAAGAGATGTTTGAGATGAGACTAAAAGGTGAGTACCAGTGATAGTGACAAAAATCATCTAAAGATGGAGATGAGAACTTAGTAGCTGTTAACAGTGAATTAGTTGCTTGGTTACTCGGGACTGTGACATAATATCCCTTAATGAGGATAGATCAAAAGGCATATGAAGACTGCTGCTTAGAATTTCTGAGGTGACATTTTCCTTGTGTATAAGTGTACTTTGTGTGTTAAGAATACGTGTGTGTTTTGAAAAATCAAACCCCTATATAGCCAACACCCAGCTTGAGGAATAATTTTTATGTGTTTAGGGTCTCACTACACAGTTCAGACTCATAGTGATTGTCCTGTCTCGACCTCCCCAGCACTGAAATTATAGGCCTGCACCACCATGCCTATATTCAGTGGCTGGCATGGCATGCCTGGGGTTCTGGGGCCAGCACGGCATGTGGTACCAGGGATTGAACCCCGGGTCCTTGCACTTGTTAGGCAGGTGCTTGGACCACCAAGCTACGTCCCTAGCCCTTAAGGAATAAATTTGCAAGTACATCAAATGTTACCTTCCTGTGAGTCTTTAAAAATTTACTAAATGTTCTGTGGTTCCTCCATTTTTACTTGAGACTTGTGGAGCTGAATAGGAGAAAAACGGTGAATAGTTTCTTAGGTTTGTGGGTCTTAACCTTAGAAAATTGTACATGCAAAATTATTGCTTCAAGCCTTTGTGGTTTCCATGTGAAGGACCTCAAAGGCTTTAAAAACCAAAGATTATGGTGCTTTTCCTAAGACTAAGAATATGGGGAGAAGAGCTTGATGAATATTTATAAGCTGACAACTAAGTTGACTGCAAGAGAAAGGAAGAGAAGGGTAGATATTCAAAGTGTGTTAGGGTGATACTCTTACTGGAAAAGGAATAGCAATGGATAGGTTGCCAAGAGAATGAAGAAAATACCTGGAGATGATTTGTGAAGAGTTAAGACTTACTAACTGGTTTTAACAGGAGGGTGCACAGAATGTACTACAGGTCCAACCACACTATTCAGAAGTTCCACTAGTCTGCATGTACTTTTTAATAGCACTTTGAAAATCCATGTGGGATGAGTACTCAGTAGTACTACTCAGCAATACGTATGAAAGTTGAATACTTGACATCAGCACTGCAGGGAAGTCCAGTGGCACCAAGCTAGAGGCATACTCAACAGAAATTTCTAGTGTCCAGTGGTGGTTATTAGTACTTATCCTCTCCACAGTTTTCTATCTGGTGACCAAAAGGAGAGGGGTTTTACAGGTCAAATGCCTACTGCATAGACAATGACAAACAATCTAAGAATCAGGTAATGTAATATACAAGCAAGAAAGCAGTTTCTACAGGTAACAGTTTGCTTTGTTTCTAATGCGCCTCATGGAAACACAAAAAAGCATCTCAAGAGCATGGCTTATTTCTCAAGGTTAAAACTTGTCTGGAATATAAATAGACATGTTCCATATTATACCCTGTAAATATATAGAAGTATATGTTAATTAAAAATGCTGTAGGGCCAGGGATATATGTCAGTGGCACAGAACCTGCCTGGAAGGTGTGAGGTCCTCAGTTTAATATCTGGGACTGAAAAGAAAATGCTGTAGATTGACATGAAAGAAAAATGAGTGCATTTTTTGCTTCAAAAGCCAGTTTTAGGAGAAGTTAAAGGACAACAGAGAGAGACTTGTCAGGTGAACTAAAAGAAATCCTAGAATTAACAATTTTGGCATGTTAAGATCTTCCTCAATTTGGGAGAAAGGAAAATAAAGTTGACAGTGGCTAGTTGAACAAAATGAAATTGAATTCACTTGAGATGATCTATTTTATTTTTTGATGCAAATATTTTAATTTTTTTCCATAATTTTATTGAGAAACAAATAGCAATGAGACAGTTTCAAACCAAATTGGTAGGACAGTTTCAATAATTAACACATTGCATACATTCTTCCTAGTGGTTAATTGCTGTACAAGATGCAGACATGATATCCTATTTACAAACACCATTAGAACAAATCCCTCTATTCATTAAGAGAATGTAACTGTATATCCTAACCACTTTGAATACACAGATACAAAATGGACGTTCATCTGTGCCCCGTTTTTTTTTTTTTTGTTAATTTCCATTATTGAATATTATAGGTGTGTAAACTCGGCAAAATATTCTAAAAGAGTTCAGTAGCCCATAATAGTATTGGGTCTTCCGTTTCACTGGCAATTTCAGAAATTGTTGACCTGAGTCCCCTACAGCTCAACATAACACCATGGCTTTACTTTTTATATTTCATTTTTATACTTTTCTGCTAGATGGTTACGACCAAGGTAAAGCAGGACTTATGCAACAAGAGTTGTAGCTTTGGGGTCTGATAAGGTCAGTGAAATCCCTCAGGATTTATCCTTGAGATCCTGTACCTCAGATTGTAGAACCGTTGTCAGTGTCAACCATGTGGATGAGTCACGGCCGTTGCTTGGCCAATGTTGTGCTCTCTGTGAAAGCCTGAGAGAATGTTTTCTCTCCATGTGACTCTCCTTAGGCACACACTACATCATCGATCACTTTCCTGTTTGGCCCCATAATCTCCTTGATCAGAAAATTTGGGACACTACCGAGTTACATGATGTTACAGTACAAGTTGTCATATGTCCTGAGTCTTAATTGACCTTGGAAAGCTAGGGCCAAAATGTTGGCTTTCCTTGCAGCCCTTCTTTTTTTCTAATTTTGGTCTGCAAACTTAGGTTGTTAACCCTCCAGAAGACAAGCTTATTGTTATTACCATACAACCTAGGCTGTTAAGCTTAACCTCACCATCTGTCTGCATATCAAACATCTTAGGCATAACATGGAACAGGTATTTTTCATCAAGTATTGATATGTTGAACTTTAAGTCCCTACAGAATATGGTGAAAAAACATTTAAAAATTAGAATATATTTTAAAAATAAGACATAAAGAATTATATACTTCTTATGTCTACACTTAAGTCCAAAAATCTAACCATATGCAACCTTGAAGCAGGACAGTCCCACAATATTCCTTTCCCTATCTCTTGCCTTCATTCACCACTCCCTTTTTGAACAATCATCTACCCGAGAGACAGCACAGTAGCAACTGGCATGTCATGACAAGCAGCCCGTATT